ACTTCCTTACTGTTATTTTAAGATCTTTCCCTCTCTCCTGTATTTATGTCTCCTGCCCCCCCCCACCCCCTGCACTTTCTGATTTCTTACCTTTTTATTTGTAGCTTTGTCTTCCTCCTCTGCTTTACGGGTACCCAGTCTTCAAACTATCTGTTGCATTGTGTTTTTCTAGTCTGCTAATTTTTATTTCTTTGGTTTATGTAAATATGGCCATTGTGTGTTCCCCTTGAGACAGTCTGCACCGAACCTGGCTTGCCATTTTATCCAGACTGGGTGGCCAGCAAGCCCAGCATTCTCTGTTGCACATTCCACCCCTGACTTTTATTATGGAGTGCTGAAGAGAGGAGAACTCAGGTCCTTGTGTTTATATGTTTGTACAGCCAGCGCTCTAACCACCGATCCATCTTTCTAGCCCCTGTGAATTTTGTTTTGTTTTTTATTTTTTGGATTTTCGAGACAGGGTTTCTCTGTAGCTTTTAGAGCCTGTCCTGGAACTAGCTCTTGTAGAACAGGCTGGCCTCAAACTCAAAGATCCGCCTGCCTCTGCCTCCCGAGTGCTGAGATTAAAGGCATGCGCCAACACTGCCCAGCATGAGTTTTGTTTCTAAGAGCTTTCTCATCTTCTTTGAGAATTCTTTGTTTGAGTCAGGGGCTCGCTGTGTAGCCCTGGCTGGCCTTAGAACCATAGAAATTGGCCTGTCTCTGTTTCCCAAGTACTGCAGTTAAAGGTGTGTGCTTCCATGCCCAGGGAGAATCCTTTAAAGAATCTTGTTTTGGTCCATAGCTGTAATAGATATGTCTTTTAAGATATTATTTATGGGCCAAAGAGATGGCTCAGCAGTAAAGGCACATGCTGCCAAGCCCAACAACCTGACTTCAGTCCCTGGTGGTGTAATTATGTTGGTCTGCCCTGTCACCTGGGTACCCTGTCCCTTTACGAGACAAGTTCTGCCCCTTACCTGTCACCTGGTCCCCTACAACAGCAGGAGGGCCTTCCACGTGCACACAATGAAATGTGCACTAATAAAAATATACTATTAAATGTGTATGTACCTGCATATACAAGCATTCATGTGGATATGTTCCTTAAAGGCCTCTGTTTTTTCTGTAAAGTTTTTGCACCGCAACAAGCCTCTCCACCGATGCAATAATCTTAATCAGACCAAATCAAACCAAATTAGAAAAAGCCCAGGTTTAATAGATATCCCGCAGAGGTATCTATTTCCAGAGGAGACTGGAAAGGAAGACCACCACTGCCCAGCTTGCTCATTTATTCTTTCTGTTGAGTGTGAGAAAGGACTTTTCTTGGACCCATGTTGTGCTAGGACCTTTCATTTTGCCCAAGCTGTCCAAGTTGCCTTGTTCAGTCGCCCTTTCTTCTGCCAGGCTGTCTGCACTTTGTCCTCAGTGCAACCTCCCCGAAGCTTATCTTTAAATCCCCAGCAAAGCCCTGAGCTTTTTAAATTATATTTTCTCTATGTTAGTGCCTACGTGGATATTTCTGTTTGTCACAGGACTGAAAAGTCTGGATTTGCGTGGTGCATTGTGCCACATTGATGTTAAGATTCCTTACTGGCAACTCCGTCTAGGATTCTTAATTTTGTTTCCTTTAAAGATACTACTGCATAGGCCAAAGGGTGTGGTAGAATCTTCAAAAATACAGATCAGTTGTTTCTTAAGTAAAAACAGGAAAAGAATAGGGGTTCCTGATGTGTTTTTTGTTTTTTTATTTTTTTAAACTTTTTGATGACTATTTGGGGTTGTCAACTTGACAGACCCGGGAAGAGGAAACTTCAAGGATTTGCCTCCATCAGACTAGAGGGACATTTTCCTAACTGCTAGTTGATGGAGGAGGGCACAGGCCGCTGTGGCAGCACCACCAATGGGCAGGCGGTTGTGGGTTGTACTGCAAAGCAGGTTAGAGAGCCAAGGGAGGCAAGCCAGAAAGCCTGGCTGCTCCTGCCTTCTTCCTTGTCTTCCCTGGATGGCGACTATAAACTGTTGGTGAAAAATGCCCTTTCTTCCCCTAAGTTATCTTGGGCCACGGTGTTCATCACATCAACAGAAACCAAACGCTACAAGCTGCAGCATTACATAGGAATTGCTCAGTCATCTTTTCATGAGTGACTTATCAGAACCCAGGGATCTGATAAGAGCTAAACCAAAAAGCAAGGCTTTTTAGCATTATTGCTTTGTGAATAAAGTGGCTGTCCTTTGCTATAAATTTTTGCTATAGCTGACTTCCCTTCTGTTACATATTTGGGAATTAATTCCCTAGTTCAGAACAGTTTCCTACCCTCAGGCCTCATTCCTCTCTCCTAGGTAATAGAGATCTGCCTTCCTGCAGTTAGCTTTATCAGCAGACATATGGTCAGTGCTTAGGGTTCAGGCAAGAGCATCCCATCTAAGATATTCACAGATCTCCAAGGACATAGAATTACTACTTGACCAAGCTGCTGCTCTGGCTTTACCTCACTCAAAAGACTCCTAACTCCTTATGCTCACTTTCGCCTCAGTTTACTGATGAATTTTAGTTGAGGGCTCTCAAGGACAACAGAAGAGATAATTAACTGCAGCTCAGAGAAAGACCCACAACACCCACGTTCAGAGCAGCTGATAACAGCATAGCCCAGAACTGATCATTTAGAGGCCTGGGTCTCTTCTTCCCTTAGAGCCGTAAGTCTAACTCCAGACCTAGACCCATAGAATCTACAGCATGTGGTGTATGTGTTAATCTGATCAAGAGCCTTTTATGTAGCTTGCTTGGTTACCTGATTCTATGTATGCTTGGAGAAGGAAAAAAAGCGGTGCGCTGATTTAAAATACAATCTGTGCCCTATTCATAATCTTCCTGAAAATAAACATTTTAGCTCTTTATCTACCACCTAATAATGCAGTGTAGTGCACTAACCTTACCTCTAAGAATCCCCTGATCATTTAATTCCTTTCTTAACTTTCTCCATTAAGTTCACTGGATGTCTACTAGCCACTCCCATGGATCTGTGGGGGGGGGGGGAGGGAGAACCCTTATCTGATTTTCTATGGGTCCCTGGAACCTGCTAGGGCTGGGGAATTGTTGGTTTTAAGAATATATATGACTGAGAACATTTGTAATGGGTAGAACAAGCTGCCTGCTAGAATTTGGATTACTGTCTCCTTTAAGTATTTCATTTAGAGGCTCGAGGTCTCCTGTAGGAAACCTTAAATAAGGCCTTAGCCACTGTATATTTCCTAACAACCTTTGAAAGTCATTAAGAGTTTTTAAGTCATCCTTCCTAATTTCTATCTTCTGAGGCTTAATTTCTTTGGGGTAAAACCAATACTTAACCTCATAGAAGAAAAATTTAGAATTAACACTTGAATGCACTCGCACAACTAACACAGCCTCAGTGGCATACACATTGAGAGAAACAATAAATGGGATCTCTTGAACTGAGAAGCTTCTGTATAGCAACAAGACATAATAGCCATAGGATGGGAAAATATCTTTACTAACCATTAATCCACTTCAAAAACATAAGAACTCCTAGAAATCGTCATCAAAAGAACAATTAATCCAATAAGAATATATGCAACAGACCTAAACTGAGAACTCTCAATAGATGAATTTAAAATGACTGAAAGACATCAAAAAATTGCCCAAATATAACATCCTTAACCATTGGAGAAATGTAAATCAAAACAACTCTGAGACTCCATCTTATCCCTGTAAAAATGACCAAGATCAAAAACACCTCCTCCGCTTGTGGAAATGCAAACTGGCACAGCTGCTTTGGATCCTAGTATGGCGAAGTCTCAGAAAATTAGGTAACAAACTACTTTAAAACTCAACTATACCTCTTTTGGGCCTATATACAAAAGATGCTCAACCATGTTCACAACAGAATTACTTTATTATACACAGAATCTGAAAACAACCCAAATGTATCCTGATAAATGAGATAGCCACAAATACCTTAAATATCTTTGAGTAACTCTAATCACACAAATTGAGAAACCTCTATAACAAGAACTAAATCTTTGAAGAAAGAAATTTAAGCTATCAGACAATGGAAAGATCGCCTATTCTCTTGTAAAGGCAGCAAAATTGACAATCTTACTGAAAGCAATCTACAGATTTAATGCAAATGCCCATTAAACTTATAACGAAATTCTTCAGACTTCGAAAAAACAGTCCTCAACTTTATGAGAAAAGACAAAACTCAGGATAGCTTAAACAATCTTAAAATCCTGTACAATAAGGAACTTCTGAATGCATTACAATCTCTGACATTAAACTTACCACAGAGCCACAGTACTGAAATCAATCCACCTTGGATACGAATTCACATTCGTCTACAAACAGCAGACTTTTGACAAAAAGGCAAAATCGTGAAGTTGAAAAGCATTTTAACCTGCTTATCTCAGAGGCTACCTTAATTTAAACTTGTCTTTTTTTTTCTTCAGTTGAAGCTGTGCTGCACGGCTGGGGATAGGACACAGGCTCACTTTGTCAGATTGCCTTCCCGAGCTCTGGCGGGCGGATTTTTAACTATCTTTTTTATTTTAACATGTAAATCATAAAATTAGGGGAATTTCTGAATCCTCTCCTCTGTTCTATAAACTGTGAGGTTAAATTTGCTCTCTACACTCTTGTTCCTGCTTGCCCTTTACCCACAGGTGAGTTGGATTACTGGCTACTGTGACCACGTGGTTACTTAGTCTCAGCGGTAACTTGGTGATTCTTGGGCCAAAAGTCATTTTTCCTTCACCTTTCCTACCCATTTAGCAAGCAATAAAAGTTGCAATTCTGCATCTATCACACTTATAGATTCTCAATAACTCTGTCATTATTTCTGCTCTACTCTCACTCCCTTTAGTTACCAACATATATAACTGAATACTTTTTCCCTTATCCCATATTTCTATATTTACAAGTTTTTATTCCCGATTTAAATTTTGTCCCACTTGTCTACATTTCTTTAAATTCTGATCTCTATCTCTGAGCGCTCAATACTCACACATCCATCAATTTTTTTCTCGCGGGTTCCTCACGTCTGGTCCCTTCTTCCTTGCTTTTTGGGGTGCGCGGATCAGCCTCACGTTCTCCTCCATATTTTGTCCGGTTTCCCTCTGGGATTCAGCAATTAGCATTCACAGTCTCTCTCATCTGGCCCTATCTCCGGCTTTTCATGGAGTTTGGCTGTCAGCACCACGTTCTTTTTCGAACTTCTTGTTCTTCCTCCGGCATTCGTCTTGGGGCACGTTGCTGGGCGCATTTGTGTTAGAGCCCATGTGGCTCCAACACAGATAATTATTTTCCCTAACTGGACTGGTACAGAGGCGCAAGGAATAACCAGAAACAGCTTACACCATTATTACAGAAAAGGGCATCTCAGGCCTCTTCCTCCTGAAGATCTCCCCGCGGTTATTCTCCAGACATCTTTTATACCAACACATAAATTGAGCGGGGAAAATACATCAGCATTCTGTCTCCTAGGTAACCAGGTGAATAGCCTTTTGTCAAGTCCGCACCTACCTGCCTGCTGAGTATGCTAGCTGTCCTGTAGACTTCAATTAGCATCTCTATAAGGCAACCTCCTAATCACAAAGAAAAGGAGCAGCAAACATTCTGACCTTTGTCAGGCAGAAAAAAAAAAGCCAAAACGAAACAAACAAACAAACAAACAAAAAAACAACCCACATTATTTAGAGCGGAAGATTTGCAAGCAAACTGCCCTGGTTTGCACCTCCTCCCAGCATCCTGCTTGCTCACGCCACTGAAACATAGAGAAACGAAACTAGAAATTAACTCTCGGTGGCACTTCCTGGAGTACAGTTGCATAGCCATGGCCCAAGAGATACCACTGGCTGGTGGCCGAGGCACTGCTGGTGAGTACCAGGTGGTGGCCATCGGGAAGGGGCCACTCTCCACTCTCCCTTCCCCCAATTCTGCGAGCCTTAATTACCATAGAGACTGCAAGGTGCCGCCAAAGGCAGAGCTGGACTTTCAGCAGCTGGGAAAGCTGTAGGCACTGGGGACCTCAGTAAGCGGAAACCTGTAGGTTCTCTGGGTCCATCCTCTTGGGTCCTTGCTTCACAGGTTCGGGAGCTCTGCACTTTAAAGTTAGTACGCAAGACGTGCTGTTGGGAAGGGACAGTAAACTTTATTGGGGATGTTAGAAATCTGGACAGGAGAAACAGTTTGGCACAACTGGGGAATACTGAGGGAAAGCTTGTAGGGGTTGCAAGTAGCCATCAGTTTCTGAGAACCCTCAGGTGTGCAGGCTGATGTTTCAGGTCCACCCATAGTGACAATCTCCTTGTGATGGTATGATCTCTTGAGAGCATGGTATTGTCAGTTTTGTGATCCAAAGATTCCCGGAATTGTCTTAGAAAGGCACGTCCTGAGGAATGTAAACGAAGGGCTCTTCCGGGACAGGAAATCGAAACAAACGCTGGTGTTGACAGGCTATTACAGCCCGCCTTGTGTCTCCAGTAGAAATCTGACACAAAGGCTAAAGCAGAAAAAACAGATCCAGTAGGGAAGCCCTGATGTCAAGCCTTCTCAGTCCCTTCCCTCACTTAAGTCCCTTCCCTCACTCGCGAGTGCCTGCAGTGATCCCTGGCCCAAGTGAAGTCAGTATTTTCAGCAAAAGCAGTCTTCCATCCCTGAAACTTAACCCAGGCCACCATCATCCTGACTCACTTGGTAGATGTCTGCAGCTAAGCTTTTAGGGGACTGATTCATTCCAGCTGGTAACCATCCCCCACTAGCATTTTTTGAAGATTTATTTTATATCTATGAATGCCTTGCTTGAATATATGTTTGTGTACCACATGTGGATTTGATGCCTCTGTTGTTTAGAAGAAGGCATAGGGTCTCCCCCTGGAACTGGAGTTAGATATGGTTATGAGTCACCACGTAGGGGCAGGGAATCGAGTCTGGGTACTCTACAGGAGCAAAAAGAGGTCTTGTCTGCTGAACTAGCACTCTAGTGGCTGATATGTGTATATACATATTTATGTATTTGCGTCTGGAGACCCTGGAGCTGGAATTACAAGTATTTGTAAGCCTCCCCAACATGAGGGCTGGGAACTAAACTTGGATCCTTCAGAATAGCAAGCACTCTCTCTCTCCAGCCCCCATCTTACTTTTTCAGGTCAGGAGTCTGTCATAGGTAGAAAACTTGAAAAGTTGATCCAGGCAGAGAAGATGACACAAATAAGGTACCAATCTCCAAAATACATGGCAACCACTAGCCAAATACCAACGTGGCACACATTTCCTTTACCTAATCTGTATGGTCTGTAGGGTGAGGGGCAAGAGAGAGGAGGCTCCAGGCCATTTCCCATACTCTGTGTCTCCACACGCAGAATGGGTTTGTCCCTGAACTAGTGTTCTGATTTTTTTAAGTTTGAAAGTGGGCTGGAGAGATGGCGATGGAGGTAAGAGCACTGGCTGATCTTGCAGAGGACCCTGGTTTGATTCTCAGCACCCACACATTGGCTCACAACCATCACAACAACTCCAATTCCAGGGGATCCTATGCCTCCATAGACACCAGGCATTCATGCAGTGCATATATACAGACAAAACACTCACACACGCAATTTTTAATAAAAAAATTAAGTACAATATTAGTGGGATGTAGTGAGGGGCTGCGGGCAGGCCTGCTTTTCATCCTGCCCAGCTCCCGCACGGCTAGCTTAGCCCCAGAAATAATAACACTTAAGTTGTATTCATTTAAATACTGCCTGGCCCATTATCTCTAGAGAGTTAGTTACTGGCTAACTCTCACATCTTGATTAACCCATTTCTAATAATCTGTAAAGCACCACGAGGTGGTGGCTTACCGGGAAAGATTCAGCACGTCTGACCTGGTGGCTGGCTCCATGGCGTCTGCCTCATAGGCCTCTTCCCAGAATTCTGTTCTGTTTACTCCGCCTACCTAATTTTCTGTCCTATCAAGGGGCCAAGGCAGTCTCTTTATTGACCAATGAAAATAACACAATATACAGATAACCCTCCTCCATCAGTGGGAGGTCAGGGAACAAAATAGAAGCTACAGGACCAGAAACAACCATGGCTAACCATTATGGATATGAGTTATATGTTCATCTTGTACTTTAAAATAAACTCCATATTAATAATATGAAAATGAGAGTTAACTATTTCCAAATATATCTCCCTTACCCCTTACCTAAGATTAGAAATCATAAAATAGTTTTGAAAGACCCCCGATTTGGGGAAACTCTCACTCGAGTCTCGGGAAGACGCGAACCCCCCCAGTAACTCACGAGAGACCATCCTTGCTGCAATCACACGAGGTTTAATGACAAGACTATAAGATGGGGACCAGTGCACTGGGGCCGAGACTCATAACCCACGCAGGGGAAGAGTTCGACCTCGAGTGACCTGGAGAAGTAGTTTTTATAGGAAGAAACCACATAGCCCAGTAATCCGAAAGGGGGGACAGGGAAGATGTCCAAAAATTCCAGTGATGATTACAAAAGGGCAATTCCCTGCCTCTCAAGATCATTCTCAAAGGTCGTAATCAGCTAGTTCCTATTCCGGTTTTATTTTTTATTTTTTTAATTTTATTTATTTATTATTTATGCAGTGTTCTATCTGCATGCCAGAAGAGGGGACCAGATAGAATTACAGATGGTTGTGAGCCACCATGTGGTTGCTGGGCATTGAACTCAGGACCTCTGGAAGAACAGCCAGTGCTTTTAACCTCTGAGCCATCTCTGAGCCATCTCTCCAGCCCCATAAAATAGTTTTAAATTTATTACATAAAGCCTATGGACTATTGCTGTCCACTCTCCTTCCTCCACACCAAGATAGGGTTTTTCTGTGTAGCCTTGTCCATCCTGGAACTCAATTTGTAGACCAGGCTAACCTCAAACTCACAGAGCTCCACCTGTTTCTGCTTCCCAAGTGTCACACAGACTTTTAAAATACTAATTATGTATGTGTATGATATATATGCATTGTTGGGGGGTGTCCACTGGTGTACGTGCAGAGGCCAGGGGAGGTTGCCGGATGTCTTGCTCTCTGTGATAATATTCTGAACATGTGACAAGCTCTTATAAATCTGTAAGAATATAATAATTCAATAGGAAAAATGGGCTGAGAGAATGCTGCTAGGGAAGAAATGCAAATAACACCGTGTCAGCCATTGAATTCACAAATGTGGGGTATGACCCATTTTTGCCTATGATGTCCTTTGACTTGTTCATCTAACCATCTGTCCAAGCGGTTCTATGAACATACGACTCTAAATCAAGCAGGTGTGAGACCCTGTCTTGTTTTCTCCAAAGCTTCCTCACTATCAATCCCCATGTAGTCTTCCCTAATAATTGCATTTTTCAAATTCTTTAACCTTGGGATTTGGGTTGAAATTACATTAAACCTAAAACCCTCTTGGGGGAAGTGGGGTAGAATTTCTCTCTTTGTGTATCTAGCCTCTGATCCGGACTTGGGGTGTTCTGCTACGTCTGCTGGAATCTTTATCTTGTGCCGTCCTTGGCCTTGTGTTTCTCAAATCTTCCCTTGATCTGTTCTCCATCTGGACTAGTTTACTATCTCCAATTTGTCCTGAGTATATACTCGTGTATGTGGCCACCCACTGGAGCGTGGTGAACCTACCAGGGGCCACACCCTAAAAGAAAACTGACACGTCCTCCCCCACAAACCATCAACTGACAATGGGGCGGATGCTCCTGAGTTCTGCCCCACCCCATCCCAGCCATTTCAGCTAGAATTTTGACTGCTTTGATCTTGTGCCGGTCTTGTGCAGACAGCCACAGCTGCAAACACAGGTGCAAATACAGCTGCAAACACAATTGCTTTGAATTTATGATTATAGCATTTCTGTCATATCTAGAAGACACTGTTTCTATGGACCTTAGAATCTTTCCATCCCCTGTTCCACAATGTTCCCCAGCCTTGGGGGAAGGTGTGGGGTTATTGTGGTTGTCTCATTTATGGCTGAGCATTCCACAGACACTTATTCTATACACTTGGATGAGTTGTGAACTTGAAAATAAGACTCTATTGCTGAAGATGTCACACTTTTTAGTCAAGAAACACAGAGAAATCAAGCAATTACCAGAAGTTCTTCCTTTTTGACTAGTTTTCATAGTTGTGGAAGTTGCCATGTAGACTGTTGGAGAAAAAAAGTAGTCAACAATCTTACATAGCTGTGAACATTATAAGCTCCCATGACAACCAGCACAGCAAAGTATGTTCCTGGGTGCAATAATGGCACAAGTGTTTTAGGGGGAACCAACTGATTTCTACCTGGATTTAAGGCCCACAGGAGGCAGCACATACCTGATACTGTAAATCTGACCAAGAGCTCATAGGCCCCAGAGCTAAATAGACACGGTATCAAACATCACTCTAAATTCCCATCTCTGCCCAAAGATAAGTGCAGCTCTCAGACATCAGAGAATTTCCTTGTTAATTTTACACAATCAGTAAGGCCCCTAGAAGCTTTCCAATGACACCACAGCCACCTTTGTGGCTTGTTCTGCTTCTGTTGACAACACTGGTCTAGAACACGGAACAGCAGCTATACCACACGAGAAACGCTGCCCCTTACACTGCTGGTTTTGTCGTT